TTCTTCCTCTTCTTCCTCTTCTTCTTCTTCCTCTTCTTCTTCTTCTTCTTCTTCTTCTTCTTCTTCTTCTTCTTCTTCTTCTTCTTCTTCTTCTTCTTCTTCTTCTTCTTCTTCTTCTTCTTCTTCTTCTTCTTCTTCTTCTTCTTTCTTTTTTTTCTTCTTCTTTTTCTTCTTTTTCTTCTTCTTCTTCATCTTCTTCTTCTTCTTCTTCTTCTTCTTCTTCTTCTTCTTCTTCTTCTTCTTCTTCTTCTTCTTCTTCTTCTTCTTCTTCTTCTTCTTCTTCTTCTTCTTCTTCTTCTTCTTCTTCTTCTTCTTCTTCTTCTTCTTCTTCTTCTTCTTCTTCTTCTTCTTCTTCTTTTTCTTTTCTTCTAATCCTACTTCTCATCTTCTTCTTCCTCTTCTCCTTATTCTGTTTTTAATATGACGACTTGCGGTAGTGTATTTGTGCTGTCGCTAGGTTTTAGCTTTTTTTTTTGTAGCGTTTTTATAGCGTCAAACAATTACAATAATATATATATATATATATATATATATATATATATATATATATATATATATATATATATATATATAACTCTCAGAGACCAGAGAGCAGTGTGTAACTGCTTTGCAAATGATGTATGCTCGATGTATCCATGGCTGAAGCACGGCATGACATCAGGTATGGCAAAATCTGCGACATCAGCCCAAACTGCCGAAACATAGATCCTCTATGTTTGCTTCCTAATGTTAGACAGGTAAAAACAACAAAAAGAAAAGGCATTTAACCAAGTCGGGAAAAATGTATCGAATGCATGTCCGAATAAAAAAGGGTAAAGTCGGGAGATTTGAACCAGCATCATTGCACACGGTTATAAACCATGTGCTCTGCCACCAGTACGGACAACTGATAAGAAACTGCCCGCCTGTGTTGCCGTTCGCACGTAACTCTGAAGCTACAGCGACGTTCCTCTTTTTACCCAGAGAATAAAATGAAACATATGTGTGAGCACCACTAAAGGTATTTTCTATTCGGTTAATGAGCTACTGAAGTGATTAATGAACAGCTAAAAAGGCATGTTTGCTTTCTTCAAAACAAAAAACAGAAGGAAGATTTGTAACAACTTTCGTAGTGGAAGGATGAGGTAGTGTCAGCATAGATATTTCCAGATCTTACAAAAAGGCAATGCAGTTCACTGATTCCAGGCCCACAGTAAGAAATCGAGCAGGTAATGCAGTCAACGACCACAACTTTAAATGAAGAGAATTGCTGTCTTCTTTGTGTACGTTGATGTCACACACAAGTTCGTATTTTGGTTTGCTACAGAAGGAGTCAATTGAAAGACAATAGACGAGGAGAAAGATGGTCGTGTCCATAGCGGTGATGATGAAGGTGATGATGACAGTGATGATGACGGTGATGATGACGGTGATGATGACGGTGACGACATTCACAATCTTGCTTGTAGTTGATCGACACTCACAATCTTGTGGGTAGATGACCGGCATTCACAATCTTGTGGGTTTGGTGACCAACATTCACAATCTTGTGGCTAGGTGACCGACAAACACAATCTTGTGGGTAGGTGATCGACATTAACAATCTTGTGGGTTTGGTGACCGACATTCGCAAACATGTGGGTAGGTGACTAACATTCACAATCTTGTGGGTAGGAGACCGACATTTTCAATCTTGTGGGTAGGTGACCGACATTCACAGTCTTGTGGGTAGGTGACTAACATTCACAATCTTGTGGGTTTGGTGACCGACATTCACAATCTTGTGGGTAGTTGACCGACAAACACAATCTTGTGGGTAGGTGATCGACATTAACAATCTTGTGGGTTTGGTGACCGACATTCACAATCTTGTGGGTAGGTGACTAACATTCACAATCTTGTGGCTAGGTGACCGACAAACACCGTCTTGTGGGTAGGTGATCGACATTAACAATCTTGTGGGTAGGTGACCGACATTCACAATCTTGTGGGTAGGTGACTAACATTCACAATCTTGTGGGTAGGAGACCGACATTTTCAATCTTGTGGGTAGGTGACCGACATTCACAATCTTGTGGGTAGTTGACCGACATTCACAATCCTGTGGGTAGTTGACCGACTTTCACAGTCTTGTGGGTAGTTGACCGACATTCACAGTCTTGTGGGTAGTTGACCGACATTCACAGTCTTGTGGGTAGTTGACCGACATTCACAGTCTTGTGGGTAGTTGACCGACATTCACAGTCTTGTGGGTAGTTGACCGACATTCACAGTCTTTTGGGTAGGTGACCGACATTCACAATCTTCTGGGTAGTTGACCGACATTCACAGTCTTGTGGGTCATTGACCGACATTCACAATCTTTTGGGTAGGTGACCGACATTCATAATCTTGTGGGTAAGTGATCGACATTCACAATCTTGTGGGTAAGTATTCGACATTCACAACCTTGACGGTAGGTGACCGACATTCACAATCTTGTGAGTATGTGTCCGTAATTCACAATCTTGTGGGGAAGTGTCCGACATTTACAAACGTTTTAGTAGGTGACAGACATTTACAATCTTGTGGCTAGGTGACCGACAGTCACTATCTTGTGGCTAGTTGACCGACATTCACAATCTTGTGGGTAGGTGGCCGACATTCACAGTCTTGTGGCTAGGTGACCGACATTCACAATCTTGTGGCTAGTTGACCGACATTCATAATCTTGTGTGTAGGTGACCGACATTGACAATCTTGTGGCTAGGTGACCGACATTCACAATCTTGTGGGTAGGTGACCGACATTCACAATCTTGTGGGTAGGTGACCGACATTCACAATCTTGTGGGTAGGTGACCGACATTCACAATCTTTTGGGAGGTAGGTGACCGACATCCACAATCTTGTGGGGTAGGTGACCGACATTCACAATCTTGTGGGGTAGGTGACCGACATTCACAATCTTGTGGGTAGGTGACCGACATTCACAATCTTGTGGGGTAGGTGACCGACATTCACAATCTTGTGGGTAGGTGACCGACATTCACAATCTTTTGGGTAGGTGACCGACATTCACAATCCTGTGGGTTTGGTGACCGACATTCACAATCTTGTGGGTAGGTGACCGACATTCACAATCTTGTGGGGTAGGTGACCGACATTCACAATCTTGTGGGGTAGGTGACCGACATTCACAATCTTGTGGGCTAGGTGACCGACACTCACAATCTTGTGGGGTAGGTGACCGACATTCACAATCTTGTGGGGTAGGTGACCGACATTCACAATCTTGTGGGTAGGTGACCGACATTCACAATCTTGTGGGTAGGTGACAGACATTCACAATCTTGTGGGGTAGGTGACCGACATTCACAATCTTTTGGGAGGTAGGTGACTAACATTCACAATCTTGTGGCTAGGTGACCGACAAACACCGTCTTGTGGGTAGGTGATCGACATTAACAATCTTGTGGGTTTGGTGACCGACATTCACAATCTTGTGGGTAGGTGACTAACATTTACAATGTTGTGGGTAGGAGACCGACATTTTCAATCTTGTGGGTAGGTGACCGACATTCACAATCTTGTGGGTAGTTGACCAACATTCACAATCCTGTGGGTAGTTGACCGACATTCACAGTCTTGTGTGTAGTTGACCGACATTCACAGTCTTGTGGGTAGTTGACCGACATTCACAGTCTTGTGGGTAGTTGACCGACATTCACAGTCTTGTGGGTAGTTGACCGACATTCACAGTCTTGTGGGTAGTTGACCGACATTCACAGTCTTTTGGGTAGGTGACCGACATTCATATTCTTGTGGGTAAGTGATCGACATTCACAATCTTGTGGTTAAGTATTCGACATTCACAATCTTGTGGGTAGGTGACCGACATTTACAATCTTGTGGGTAGGTGACCGACATTCACAATCTTTTGGGAGGTAGGTGACCGACATTCACAATCTTGTGGGGTAGGTGACCGACATTCACAATCTTGTGGGGTAGGTGACCGACATTCACAATCTTGTGGGGTAGGTGACCGACATTCACAATCTTGTGGGGTAGGTGACCGACATTCACAATCTTGTGGGTAGGTGACCGACATTCACAATCTTGTGGGTAGGTGACCGACATTCACAATCCTGTGGGTTTGGTGACCGACCTTCACAATCTTGTGGGTAGGTGACCGACCTTCACAATCTTGTGGGTTAGGTGACCGACATTCACAATCTTGTGGGGTAGGTGAAGGACATTCACAATCTTGTGGGCTAGGTGACCGACATTCACAATCTTGTGGGGTAGGTGACCGACATTCACAATCTTGTGGGGTAGGTGACCGACATTCACAATCTTGTGGGTAGGTGACCGACATTCACAATCTTGTGGGTAGGTGACCGACGTTCACAATCTTGTGGCGTAGTTGACCGACATTCACAATCTTTTGGGAGGTAGGTGACCCACATTCACAATCTTGTGGGGTAGGTGACCGACATTCACAATCTTGTGGGTAGGTGACCGACATTCACAATCTTGTGGGTAGGAGACCGACATTCACAATCTTGTGGGTAGGTGACAAGATGTTTTGCAAGGCAGGGAGACAACGTCGAGAAATATGACTCAGGACAATTCTGTTCCAGCCGTTTGCAAAAAAAAAAAAAAAGTAATTAATGCAATAGTCTTTTTTTTTAATAGCTTTTCCTCGAATATCTGATATTTTTATGTCGCTGAGTGCATGTTGTACCCAAAGCTGCTGATTTAACATAGTACTAGTTCCCTTCAACTCTGATGTTCTTTATCTATACTGCGTTTGAGGCCCATTTAATGACATTTTAAACGTGCGTGTTGTATTTCTCGTATGTGACAGCGCATTTTACTATACTGTTGTGTTAATGAATCTAATAAACAGTCTTAGGAAGTTATTTGACTGTCAAAACAAAAATCAAAATGTTTCTTTATCGCTTAGTTTACAAATCAAGGTTGTAAGTTACGTTCATTGCGCTAAGATCATGTCTAAACATAAATATAATTTTATTTCAGGCGTGTTCCACCAGGTATTCTCGAGGTGTATGCTCGGGAGGAGACTGCATTTCGTGTACAAACAGCAACACTGAATTAACCATTACTATAAATAGACTTCTAACAACGAGTGATAGTAGGGGGATAGTGCGTCTACTCTGTTTCGCTAGGGACTATACGTTAGAGTCAAACGACAATTTTACTCTTCCAGAAATTGTGGGTGAGTAAACAATAATAACAATAATACTGTTTTACTATATTTAAACCGGCGAATCAATGGATGGCCCGGTCTCCGACAGTGTTTCTGTATAAAAAATGTTAAGTTTTCAATTGTTCTCGTGTGTTCTCACTATGACTTGTTTGGTATTCTCCTAAAGCTCAGTGTTAGTTAATGGTGATATCACTGTATGCCCTGTCTTATAAAACTTAATTATTGCTAGTAAGTTACTAAAAACTGTTTCAACTGTTCTCCATTAATCCGCGCCAAAAATCCGTACTGGATTGACAACGTTCGAAATACTTTCTTTGTTTATAAATAGTTTCATGCTTTTTATATTCATATTGTAATGTGTCTGTCACTTCTCCCCTCTACATGCAAATTACGTTCCCAATGGTTATTTTAATCTATATAAATAAATGGTTCCTTTTTTTTTGGAGGGGGTCGGGGGGGGGGGGGGGTGTGGATATCAGGAAGAGAATTATTCTTTGTCTTGTTTATTTTTATTTCCTTTGTACCTTACGGTTGTAGACCTAGTTGTTATTATATCACGTCTATATTTTTTCACTTGCGTCTGATTTCCCGAGTGGGATGGAGGGAGAGTAAAACAGCTTCGCGAAGTCCAGGTCAATGAGCTGTTACCCACGGGTCACTCGAATTCTATTTACTGATGTAGATGTTGCTTTTGTCATAATCTAATCTATTGCTAGTAAAAATTAGTACAGGCGGAAATTGGCACCGTATCACACCTTTTTCAGAAGCATCGCCCTGTGAAAATGTCGAAAACTCCTTTTTTTTTTTTTTAATGTTGTTCTCACAAGGCTAACAATTATAGATTAAATTTACTTTTGGGACTCAAGTTTCACAGTTGCTTTTTACAGAGAAACAATATTTTTTTACAGAGATTCAGACTGCCAGACACACGTGACAGTTCAAAATAATAAAATATGGCTGTAGATATCTAGTCTCTTAGCCATGCGTGACAATTCGATATAATCGCATGTTGTTGTAGATATCTAGTCTGTCAGCCATGCGTGACAATTCGATATAATCACATGTTGTTGTAGAGATCTAGTCTGTCAGCCATGCGTGACAATTCGATATACTCGCATGTTGTTGTAGACATCTAGTCTGTCAGCCATGCGTGACATTTAGATATAATCACATGTTGTTGCAGAGATCTAGTCTGTCAGCCATGCGTGACAATTCGATATAATCACATGTTGTTGTAGAGATCTAGTCTGTCAGCCATGCGTGACAATTCGATATAATCGCATGTTGTTGTAGACATCTAGTCTGTCAGCCATGCGTGACAATTCGATATAATCACATGTTGTTGTAGAGATCTAGTCTGTCAGCCATGCCTGACAATTCGATATAATCGCATGTTGCTGTAGAGATCTAGTCTCCAAGCCATGCGCTACATTTCGATATAATCGCATGTTGCTGTAGAGATCTACGCTAGCAACCCAAAAGACATGCAGAAGGTAGACTTAACGCAACATTTCATTGACTGAAGCTCTTCAGTAGAACTGGCTGTACTGCATTGAATGCCAGGACACTGTGCTAATATGCCAACGAAATAGCTGACAGATTGGCCAGAAGCATTTGTGACATATTGCAATTACGAAGTGACTTAAACCCCACCCTGTTCCATCTCCCCTTTTCCGCAATAATACAGTCTAGAATCCTAGAAAGGTAGGTGGAAAAACACACCACATTTTCTCCCCAAGACTCGTTTTACCGCCTCTCGTGAGAGGCCAACAAAAGCAAAATCGGAAAATGCTATGAAAGAGACTGTAGATTATAAAATCCTGGGAAAATTCTGGAAGCTGCCAAGACGAATGCAAAATAAAAAGTCTATGACTGTAGGAACAATTTACAGAGATGATGATTTGTGCGTGACAAGAGATGTATAACGCAGGCAGATCATGATGATGCAAACGTTTGGGATGTAGATAGAGAGAATTTATCTGGCGCCATAAGAATATGCATTATGGAGACATCATTCGAGTTAAAGTTGTAAAACCAATTTTAAAATTACAAAGAAATTTAAAAAAAAAAAAAAACCAAAAAAAAAAAAAAAAAGCAAAAGAGACCACGGTCTGATGGGTTCAGGTGGGTTTAGCCACATGAAAGCTTTGATTGTTGTGACCTGACGGAGATGACCGGCTGCTTTAACCAGAGCATTAGGACAGCAGTAGTACCACAGGATTAGGCTCAACTATCTCACTTTACAAACCATGCGAGGATCATTCAAAGCCTTTTGGCTTTAGATTCATTGCCTTACAAATTAAAATGCATTTCGGAAGGTCTTAGAGAAGATGGTCGTTGTCAAGCTGCAATAATTTTTTTTTTTCGGGGAAAAGCGACGACGCTTCTCTAAATAGGTCTGGGGAAATGGGTTGGGGGAGAGGGGAGCGGTACAGACTAAAAAAATGTACCTGGTCAAATGCAGCCACTTGTGTCTTTCAAGTTGATGAAGGGTTCCAGAACAGGAAACAATGCTGCCAGCGCTTGATCTGGTGGGTGCGTATACAAGAGTTAGATATGTTATTGTGATGGCTGCGCTGACGGAGAAGGGGTCAGTCCCTGGCTGGTGAACTGGTGTACGACTCTCCTGTGTTCTGGTGAGCTGGGTTCATGAACCTCAGAACCCCGTATTATAGCCATCGGACTGCCACAGAGGTTAGACTTGTGGTCTTGGCTCCCTAACGTGTATACTGCAAACCAAGAAGCACAAGGAGTAGGAAGGATACCGACATTTGCAGAAAGTCTCGCTAGGAAAGAGATTTCTAACAAACCGCAAAGCAGCTACATGCGACAATAGACAGATGGTTGATTAGTGTACATAAATGATTGGTGACGTCAACCCAGAAAATGGATCTATTTTGAGGTGTTCTTTAGACAACAGGATTGTTAGAGATGATGTGGCAAGTCCCACGACAGATAGTAGAAACGTAAACAAAGAGAGAGCAGACTGCATTATTTGAGAATCACATTTGACAGGATCCTGTTCTTCAAGGTCCGTTGTTGAGACGAATTTGACAAGATGCAAAAAATAAGTTAATGCACTTAAGGCTATGGCTGCAGTGGACAGAGCAAAAGATGCTCTTTTCACACTATATCAGCAGTTGATCTTCTTAGTCATTGATTATGGACTAGGACTGTTCACTTACAGCAGATAAAGAACACAGTTATGCTGGTCATTTTGAGATTTATCACAAACACACCAGTAGTGTATATGCCTTACATTACTGGTTTGCTGACTGTTGCATGCAGGCTCAAGGTACTGCAGGTGGTCATACTTCAGTGTAGCTGCGGACACAGACCACCCTTTGCACGAAGCGATGGATGCAGTCTGATAAGCGAGAAGTCGTGGATGCTCAGGTGCAACACAAAATCAGAGAGGTTCGAATCCTGGAGATTATTAGGCGAGGAGAGTACTGGGTATTAGTGCCAATGGGACAGTCAGACGTGTGTAGAGTCATAATCACATTGCGCCGGATGCGCAGGAATTGGCCACCAGGTGCCACGTAGGAAGAAATTCAGCCCTCAAAGCATGATAATGCTCATTCAGATGATGTGATTATTTACACAGATTGTCAGAGAGCTGTTTACTACCTTAATGGCAATAGCTCGTTGGCAGCTCCATGACTTGAGTGTATATCTCAAACACAACTAACCAAACACCGTCAGATCATGCGTATCAGTACAACGGACGAAAGCAGCTCGCCCCAGAGCTGGGTCGAGTTATAAAGCCTACCCCAACCGGCCAAAGTGCTTTAAAATGGCAACTCACACACTTGCTTTTTAGTTGCTTCCAATGGTTAACCTGGTCCGAACCAAGAGCCTCTGTTCCAAGCTCTTTCCTACACCTGTAAGACCTGCACTGCGGCTCTGGTTAGCGTAATCATAAAGACCACGTCACTGCAACGAGTCGCATGAGTACCACCCCCATGCCATCATATTGTTCTTTTTTTTTTACGATTAAAAAACCCCTGCGCGAACCACCTCGGTAATACAAAGCTAAGTACCTGAATTAATTCTTTAAGGCCCAAACATTGGTGTGAGCGTAGTTTGAGAAGTTCCGTTCTGCCCAAACAACGGTGTCATCGTCAATTGTGTATCTCTTACATTTTGCTTCGCACGCACGTTCGTACTAGTTTCTAATGTTTGGAGGTACGAATAACCTATTCAGGGAAAGTCACTCTGCCGAAATCCTTTTAGTTTCATTTCTTGGACTAAACCACACGTGGATAATTTGAGAGAAAGAAACATCAAATTTTGTTTTTTAACAGTTCATTTTCTAAGGTTGTTTTTGAGTGCACTGAATACCAATGTTCTAACAACAAGAACAGGTCACAGAATGCGTCTTTCTGTGGCCGAAGCTCTGAAATTGTTTCAGTCAGGTGTTTTTAATTGTTATAATGATAATACAAATTTAGATTTTTAGGAAAGTGATTCGGAGAGTAAATTTTCACCAATGAAGCTGAGCGATCAGCTGTTCGGAATCTAGCGATTCTGACGAGTTTATTACACAGACAATATCCCATACTACCGTATTTATGGTGTAAGAGAAGGAAAGTGCTCTAAACAAAGAGATAGTACTATACTATGGCTAAGCTCCATTGAAATCATCGCAGCTACAGTCTGTAAATAACTGTACAAAGTGAATAGTAAATAGTGTGTGTGTTAAGGCTCATTTTTCTGCCATTTTTTGTCTGAAATTTTGCATAGCAGTCAGTGGGAACTAAGAGCTTCTGAGTGATAAACTAACCCAGAAAGTTATCATAACTTTAGAATATGTTAGAAAATTGAACAAACTTTGAGGTTTTGTTCTCAAATTTTGATATTTACTACTCTTGTGGCTGCAAAACCATGGTAAGTGAAGAATTTTTTTGTGAAATGTTGTCCTTGTGAAATTAACACCTGCTGAATTCTTCTTTTCCACTAACTATAACAAAATCAAACAAACACTTATCATCAGATTCAAAAAGTACAATAATTTCTCTTTTAAAATATATATACTTTTATAGGGATTAGAAGTATATTACAATCTCTACAGCCTTTCTTGTACACCCACCCCTCTGCCGTTTTTGTAAAGGGAAATTAATGTGGGCAAAGTCTGTCAAAATTCATGGGCCTGAAAGAGTTAAACCAGATATCACTATACAAACTTAATTGTATATTACACAGACCTTACACTGCCTACAAACACTTAAATTACAATAAAACTAACAGGTTATTTAAAACTGACCGACGTTGCATCGCTAACCTAAATTAGTTACGGACAAAACCAGGGACAAGCCACAACGTCCTGTCCAAGTCCTAGTCTCTACGCAACTACCCACAATACCGTTCATTCTGTCCGTTCCATCCAGTCAGGCCGCTCACCTGGAGTCTTTATTCATCCGTCACTTAGTGCTTGTCGCATTCTCAGTGGGCTGTTGAACGCGTAGTCGCTAAGAGGCCATCTAAGTACCAATCAGTCCCCTTCATCACCTACAGTGGTTTTACAGCACACAGACCCCTGACACAGATGTTCCATTGACAAGAGACAAAGAATTGCCTGGTTTTTTTTTTGGCAAAAACTAATGGTCGAAATTTGGTGCAGGAGAGCCTAACTTATGATACCACAACATCCACCTTAAGAGTGGAGGTGGTCTCTGCAGCTTTCCGTTGGCTAGAGAGCATCACACACACACACTTACACACACACACCGCACACACACACACCATGATTGTATCTGACTCAGAAAGCATACTAAGGAAGGTGATGCCAGGCATACTTCACGCAGAGTGGTATGATTCTCTTCGGCATTGCCTTTTTCTTTTCTCTGGTCCATGCTGTGTGTTAGGAAATGATCAGGCGGGCAGATTGGCTGGCCCTGCACAGTTTGGTGGAATACTGATACATGATGAGGCAAACGCTGTTAATGTCTTATGGGAGCAGGTACACAATTTGGAACATCAAATAGTTCATCAGAGTCTGGTACGAGGGATGCAGTGAGGAGTGACGACGGACTCTGACCGATACTTGGCACTTAGAGGAAAGGGAAAGCGGACACATAAAACGACTTCTATTGGCACCGTTTGTGCTGAACTCTGCATTGGCTGCTAAATGTGGATCAAAGAAGAAGATAAACACGTGTAATAATAATCAGGATACCAATAATACAAACATGCATCAAGAAATATGCGCAGTAACAGTAAGTTGTATATTGTAGGAATATATAAAGAGAATACTCTATAAATGCAAGAACAGAGTATGACATACCACAGGACAAGTGAAATGAATGATCTATGTGTGCGGTGACAACAAGGGTTATACTATTGACAAACTTTAAGTAGGTTATCTATTAGTGCAGTGAAAACTAAAGATATACCATTTAAACAAGTTAAGTAGGTTATCTATTAGTGCAGTGACAACTAGGGATATACCATTTAAACAAGTTAAGTAGGTTATCTATTAGTGCAGTGATATATACTTCGAACAAATGAAGTGAATGGCCTATCAGTGCAGTCACAACAAATAGTATACTATTGAAACAAGTGAAGTAAGTTATCTATCAGTGCAGTCAAAACAAGTAGTATACCATTGAAACAAGTGAAGTAAGTTATCTATCAGTGCAGTCACAACAAGTAGTATATCATTGAAACAAGTAAAGTAAGCTATCTATCAGTGCAGTTACAACAAGTAGTATACCATTTAAACAAGTGAAGTAAGTTATCTATCAGTGCAGTCACAACAAGTAGTATATCATTGAAACAAGTAAAGTCAGCTTTCTATTAGTGCAGTCACAACAAGTAGTATACCATTAAAACAAGTGAAGTAAGTTATCTATCAGTGCAGTCACAACAAGTAGTATACCATTGAAACAAGTGAAGTAAGTTATCTATCAGTGCAGTCACAACAAGTAGTATACCATTGAAACAAGTAAAGTAAGCTATCTATCAGTGCAGTCACAACAAGTAGTATATATCATTGAAACAAGTAAAGTAAGCTATCTATCAGTGCAGTCACAACAAGTAGTATACTATTGAAACAAGTGAAGTAAGTTATCTATCAGTGCAGTCACAACAAGTAGTATACTATTGAAACAAGTGAAGTAAGTTATCTATCAGTGCAGTCACAACAAGTAGTATACCATTGAAACAAGTGAAGTAAGTTATCTATCAGTCCAGTCACAACAAGTAGTATACAATTGAAACAAGTGAAATAAGTTATCTATCAGTGCAGTCACAACAAGTAGTTTATCAGTGCAACAAAGATTATACAATTGAAACAAGTGAAGTGAATGACCTATGTGTGCAGTATATATATATGTATATTTATACACACACACACACACACATATATATATATATATATATATATATATGTATATTTAATTCTTTCATTTGAGTCGCTAATATGTCTTTTCAGATATCAATAATTACAGTATGACGTTAACTGTTGATGGCCCTTCAACACCGATATATCACACTAGGTGTCAGTTCGCACAATCGTTCGACACCCAAAACATCTTTATGCTGTGTTGTGACAGCCACGTCACGCCCTGCTACGCCCAGATTAAAATCGGTGGAGTTGTGGTTGCTAAAAATGGAGCCCCATGCGTCACCTACGTGCCAACGTCCACCAGGACAGCACTCATGGTATTGCACTACTCTCTGTGTTCTCAGACTGATTATATTATAGGTGGTCGATGCACAATGCAAACAGGTAAACTGTACCTGTGTTTGTGTGTGTGTGTGTCTGTGTGTGTGTTTCGTGTGTGTGGTGAATGAGCGATATTTGGTGCTCATTAAGTCATGTAGAAACAAATATTTTTAATATATGTGTTATAATATGTGTAATAATTAAATTTGCAAAGTTTGAAACTTATTAAAGCACTTTGCTGTATATTTTTAAATATGCAATATCTGTGTTGAATGTTTGTGTTGCAAAATATATGTTGAATGTAAGAAGTGTAAAGCTTATTAAGTCAAGTAGCGATTCGTTATAATATTCTTTACGTCCTTCTTAGGACGTAATTTTTGTTATTTGAAGCTCCACTCTGGCTTTTGCCAGGGGCCGCAATATAGGCAGGCCATCAATATGGCCAATTGTCCGAACGCGGTTTCTGGGACCTCTCCACGGTGATCCTCATCAGCATGGTGGCACTTTGTGTCATCGGGTGTTTATCGCTTGTGTGATGTCCTGGTGGGGTAGAAAGTCAGTCAGTCAGTAGCGATTCGTGTTTTGAATATATGTGCAACCATATATATATATATATATATATATATATATATATATATATATATATATATATATATATATATATATTTGTGTGTGTGTTTGTGTGTGTGTGTGTGTGTGTTGAATGTGCGAAGTGTGAAGCTCAGTGCGTCATGCAGCATTTTATGCTGTAAATGTAGGTATTGAAATATATGTGTAGCACTAAAAGCTTTTAAACCAGCGGTGCGGGAGCTCTCTGGCTTCATAAAAGGCTTGCGTCTCTTGAAGCCACTGACAGTAAACGTCCAGCTTCTGACCTTCTAGTGACGGAGATTTTTAAACTAACAAACAAAAGTGCGAAAAAGGGGTCTCTGCTGTTTTAACCAGACGCTTCAGGTAGAAAGGGTTCACCACCACGGGAGAGTAGCAGGGAACTGATTCCAAACTTCGGGCAGATAAGTTTCGTCAGTACAGGAGTACGGCTTATCTAGGAGAAGGGAACTGGTTCCAAACCTCAGGCAGATAAGTCTCGCCAGTACAGGAGTACGGCTTATCTAGGAGAAGGGAACTGGTTCCAAACCTCAGGCAGATAAGTCTCGCCAGTACAGGAGTACGGCTTATCTAGGAGAAGGGCACTGGTTCCAAACCTCAGGCAGATAAGTCTCGCCAGTACAGGAATACGGCTCATCTAGGAGAAGGGAACTTATTCCAAACATCGGGCAGGTAAGTCTCGTCAGCACAGGAGTACGGCTCATCTATGAGAAGGGAACTTATTCCAAACATCGGGCAGGTAAGTCTCGTCAGTACGAGATTACACATTATCTAAGAGAAGGAAACTGGTTCCAGATCTCATTCAGATGTCTCGCCAGTATGGGAGTGCAGCTCATCTAGGAGAACAAAGACTCAATTTTTTAAGCTGTCAAGATTTTAAGAAATGAGAAGTTTAAAATAATATTTTAAGCTCTCTCAGCTAACTGTGTCTGGCATAAGCCTCCCCCCCCCCCCCCAGCCTCTTCCACCAATCATATCTTCCTCTCCGTAGGATTGAAAAATCATCACCTGGCGAAATTTTTAAAATAAAAATATTTAAGAAATGAGAATGTTAAAATAATATTTTAAGCTCTCTCAACTAACTGTGTCTGGCATAACCCCCTTCCCCTTCCCCCAATCATATAATCCTCTTCGAAGGTTGGGAAAGCCACTGTGTGACGAAATATTGTAACTAAATTAAACCTTGTTCACCCATACATAAATAGGTAGCATTAACTTGTACTGAGAAGTAAATGTGGCCAGTGTAACAGCTACCGCATCACCCATCCAACCACAACACAACGTGCTAGCGGTCCTCTCGGGGGCGAACGAAGATAACACGTGACCATGAAGCATCAGGTCGCCACTGTCGCAGGCTAACTGTAAACCCCCAAACCGAAAAAAAATGAGTAGATAGCGCAGCCTAGCAAAAAACCACAACACAACGTACCAGCCGCCCAGTTAAGGGCTAAAAAAATTATGTCACCTAGCGGGGTATCGAACGCGAGTCACCCGCATGATAGGCAGAGTAGTTATAAATACGCTACCAAACGCTGGAGCAGATAGTCGAAATCAAATTATATAGTAATGCAAAGTTCAAAAAGAGCTCAGCAGTCAAAAATGGTCAATCAACTAAAAATAAATTCAGGTCGGCAGCGGAAGAAAAAAAAATAATTTGACCGTTGCTGGACCTAAGTCGTTCGTGCTTTGTGCGATTTTTTTACAAAAAATTACGCTTTGAGTCAAAGGCAACGTTGCGTGAAAATTTGAAAGCAACCAGTTCAGTAGTTTCTGAGTTTGTAGTTAACAAACTCTGAAAATTAACATTTTTATTACTTAAATATATATATATATATATATATATATATATATATATATATATATATATATATATATATATATGTGTGTGTGTGTGTGTGTGTGTGTGTGTGTGCTGGATGTGCCATGTGTAAAGCGTATGAGGCCATGTAGCAATATACGTGAAGCAGGTATTGGGTTGCAATATGTGTATTGCAATATATGTGTTGAATGTGCGAAATGTCAAACTCATGAAGCAGCGCAGTGCGGAGCACTTACGGTGATCTCGGATGTGACGAAGTTCTTTTGTGAAGAACTTTGTGTTTATCCCCGGTAATTTGGTCTTGTCTAGACTCTTATCTTGATACGAGGAATTTCTGATAGAAGAACAATTTCCTCGGTCCCTGGTAAGTTCCCCTTGTCAGTTCGGCCTTGTATATCCATATGTTGTTTTCTTGGACAGGTAGTAAATGTCAGTTCGGGCACTAACACGTTCTCGGTTTAAATTCGCATCGATTCAGATGTGTGCAAATTTTTAAAAAATTCTAAATTGAGATAGACCCGTATAAAAATCACCATCGTGATGTGTAGTGCCGGTAAGTGTAGGCTGTCTCATTTGACTATCTAAAACAATCACCAGAATAACTAATTAATTGAATGTTAATATGTCGTCCATCCATATGTCCAGGCCAAATGGTTTCTCTTTTTCCATCAATACTGCCAGTTGTTGTCAAGCTTTCTCACATGCACGAAAAATTTTTAATATCTACACGTAATTGTTGTAAAAGTGCAGCATTTCAACAACGACAAACTGGATACGGTCGAGAGCTTAATCCTATAGCAAAATGTTTTGTCGGGTGCTGCACAGCTCTACTCCCCCATGTTTTAATGTTGTTGAACACTGTCCTTTGTCTCAATTTGGACTTCCTCGATTGTTATTCTTTGCATCCATGATGGTGCTTGGATTAGTCTCAGAAACTACATCTCTGTCGTGAGTAAATGCTTTTCAGCTGGTCTCCTAATTGCCCATGTTTCGCTGTCATATAACAACACAGGTTCTACATGACAGTTGTGACACTTCTTTCTTCACCGCACATCTTCCTATTGGTGAGAATATTTTGCAGATTGTCAAAGACGACACGTGCCTGTATAAAAAGGAAAGGCCCATGGGAAAGCAGCGGTGGCTGCTATGCCGTTGATAGCCTCATTGACTTCACTTTACTTAACTTGCTTGTACTGTATTTTGTCGTGTAAAGATTTTGCGTGTAAGTGATATTGTGAATTCTTGTTCGTACATGTTCCCATCTTTCCTGTAGCAACATACGGATGTAAGTCGTCGACTGCCTCCCAGTCCTTAAGAAAGAGAATAGGGGCATTTGAGCTGAAATGATAGAGTAACATTCACAGAATATCTTGGACGAGAAAGAAGAGAAATACTGACAACTTGAAAGATCTGAACATGAAGGAAGATTGGCTAATAAACAGCATCCTGTCTCAGAAGCTGTAACATGTTGGTCATATTATGGCTTTTGGTCTATGAGAACTGTATTGTTTATTCTCCTGCCATATTTGTCACTTAGACTATTGTGGCTTTAATCTATGAGAACTGTTTTGTTTATTCCCCAGTCATATTTGTCACTTTGAATATTGTTGCTTTAGTCTATAAGAAATGTACTAGTTTTTTTTTCTCCAGCCATATTTATCACCTGGACTATTGTGGCTTTAGTCTATGAGAACTATATTGTTTATTCTCTAGCCATATTTGTCACCTAGACTTTTGTGGCTTTCGTCTATGTAAACTGTATTGTTTATTCCCCAGCTATATTTGTCACTTAGACTATTGTCTATTTTCTACCCTGGGGTGTAGAAATTTGCCAGTAAGAGGGCCAGATAACGCTGTCAGCAGGTTTTATGTTGCCTTTTGCAATGACTCTTTTCACTCTGAGTCTCTGGCTCTGTTTATTCGCACTTCAAATTAGTACACCGACGTAACTCAACAGGTTGAATAACCAACGATACGAACTTAACTCCACTCAGGTGATCGCTGGTAATGTGTTTTTTTATTCAACGCAGCTGCCTTGTCAACCAGTGCACATCAAGGAAAAACACATGTAGGGTAATTAATCTTGACCACTTGACACAGCATCACCCGAATTCATCAGTCATGTTATTTTTGGTGCTTAATATATAAGAACAATCCACGTAGACGTTTTAACATTTAGTAACCATCCAGACTGACAAAGTCGACTACATCCAAGATTAACATGAAATGGAATCGACGGGATAGCCAGTGTTCCAGGAAAACTCGCAGTCAAACTCCGTAAAAGTGTTTACAAGCAATTAGATTCGTTCAGCATTCGCTTCGTCATCCACACCTTACCAGAGTCGACACAGACTCGAACAAGACTGAACCCAGGACTGAACCAAGACTGATTATTCGAGATCATTCCATGCGTCAAATAATCATTCTCACCCCCGTGTTCTAGATCAATCTTGCCCATTATTCTCACACTCTTAAATTTGGCATGGTTTAGGCTATTTGCTCAGTATTTTTTCGCACAACACACATTTCATTGATTTCATTCACTAGGTTTAGGTACATCATTTATGTAGAGTATCTTTTTTCATCATTAATGTGCAAAAATAAAGTATATGGGAGAAAATTACTCCTTACATCTTTGTTCCATTCAAGTCCTATGTCAGTCGGGGACTGTCAGATGGTGTCTTCTCAGCTTGTCCTGTGTCATCACTTTGGTCTGGTTTCCTGGTTTTTGGCCTTTCATGCTTGCCGTGTTAGGCAGTTGGCTTTCATTCTGAACACATCTCAAAACTGAATGATCTACTCTGGCTTGTAAGACATGGGATTCAAGATCATGACGCAGTGTCCATCCATAAAAAGTCTGTGACAATAACACGGCACATTTTAATGTTAGTATTTCCGTCCAGCTTAGTTATATTCATTCATTTAAGTCGCTATTGACCGTCCTAAAATTCTTGCTGCTGTCTTTTCGATATTTTTTCTTTCTTCCTTGTGTTCACCAGCTGTGAACTCTGGTGGAAAGTTCTGGTTGTTTGTCCACTGCAGCCCTGCTCCAGAACCTGAGTGTTCGTTTGAATCCGTTTGACAGATCTGACTCATTTTTGTGCAGACTGTTGGTTCCTTGCCTCTCAGGCAGATGCCCTCCGACTTCTAAGGAATTTTCAATAATGTCTTGGGGATTGCTTATCACGGAAACGTTTTTCTTTCTTCTTCTTTTTTTTTTGTCGGGGAAAGGGGAGGGGGGGGGGGGGGGGGGGGGGCGGGGATCTCATTTTCACTTCAGCGTTTTTTTTTTTTTTACAACTAATTTTTATATTACCCAGTCGTATGGAAGAAGACGGGTTTTTTTTTCTTTCTTTTTCATCATTTGTTTAATTTTACTTAGGCAACAATGCACATTTTAAAAGATTGACCCTAACCCAAAACGCAAACTTAGGCCTCTGCAACTTGTTGCCAACTTGAAAATGGTGAAGCAAACTCAGTTTTTAGAGCGTTACAACACCTTTAACGCAACAAATGCAGTTTTTTAATTCAGAATTTACGTCAAACACAAGAAACGTGTGTTTGTGAAAAGTTGATTGTTTACATTTGAACTTTTTGCTGTATAACTCTTTAAAGGCAATCCAAATAGTAAATTTATATACCTCGAATACGTCAAAATGCATTCTATTTACTGGTTTTGTGAGATAAAAATCTCACATACAGTTGAGAGTAGGGATGTTGTTGCTGTTTTATATCCAAATACAAATTCACATGGCTGAAAGTATATTAGTTTTACATGTGATCTGCAGGTTCGTTGACTACCGTGGAGATCACGGCTACCACGACTACCACCACTTACAGAGGTGGTACAACTGCAAGGCCAATGGGTGTTACCACGAGGACAGGTAGGTAATTTTTTGGGGGGTTCAACTAATGACATCAACTGTATAACTCTCATTCAGCTTGACTTACTTTATACCCCACAGGACAGAACGATAAACACCCGGTGACACAAAGTGCTGCCTTTCGAATGAGGAACACCAGTGGAAAGGTCCAAGAAACCCAATTCAATTGCTAGGTTATGTTAGGGCCCTTGGCAACAACCAGGGTGAGGCTTTAAAACAACGAAAAATGCGGCCCACATGGACACAGATTGTTATTTTACTTTTAATATGTGGTATGTTGACAACGTAGAGTTGGGGAGGAAGGGGAAGGCGGCTGCGTGGTCTTGAGATATGGTGTCCGCCTTGTTTGCTAGAGGTCCCCGGTTCAGGCCCTGTTAAGGGCTGTGATTTATTCAGTAGACTTCTAGTAATGTCTCCTGCCCCCGAGTAGTGAGATAAGACGCCTGCGTGTATTGTTGCGCTCTTAAAAAATCCCTTGGCAGTTGGAAATCGAAAAAAGTATTCTAACGGCCATGTCTGAGCAAAATTTGGAATTAAAATTCTACCCAAAATATTTTAGGATCCATGACGGTTTTTACTGAGCCCGTGCACTGCGCCGAGCAACTCAAGTCTCAGACATGAGTTAGAAGGAGAACGGAGCACTTACGGGTTACTACCAGTGTAGCATTATGTCGATCCGTTGTTAAAACCTCAAGCTAGCCTCGGCCACGCTGGTCACAGCAGATGTTACGTCATCAGTCTTGTGTTCTCAGCGCGTGTGTCTTGCAGTGACGGCGGTTTTATGTATGTGAAGTACTGAGGTTTTCACACCATCTCGGCACTACATGCTGCAGAAGTGTACACCCTGCATAGGGTTTGTATACGTTGTCTAAGATCTCCCTTTTGCTATTGTTATACTTCGGGTGAAAACGGGACGACCACTACTATTTTGAGTTGAAAAAGTGGACATCCTATGAATACTCGTATTCTGAGCTGATACGCGACATAACATACAAAACAATTAACCACTGGACGTAAGGACTCCTTAAATATGAAAGTATTCAAGGCGGGAGAGCTGGAGAGTGACCGAGTTTCTTGTGTACAGACTGTGATAAGAGCGACGTTCCGCAGATGACCTGCTATATGATGATGATGATGATGATGTGATAAGGATACCTTGTTTCTATTGTTTTACTAAAGTAATGTGTAGGTAAATATCTGGTTCGGTTTGTATTTGTGTATATTTTCCAGTTTATATTGTTTTTTTTAGGTGGATTGCATGCATTGTTCCTATTGGTTTCCTATCGTAGGGTATACATTTAACATTTATCCTCCCTCCTCATGCACTTTTATACTCAAGAAGTCACTTACATCATGTGCCCATCTTCGGTCGGTCGGCCCCTGCCCCTCCTTCCTAGTACCATGCCTTTTGTTATAATTGTTTTTCCAATCCGTCGTGGCCCTTGATATGACCAAAATATTTCAGCTTCCGAGAAAGGATGCTGTTTATTAGCCAATCTTCCGTGATGTTCAGGTCTTTTGAGATGTCAGTATTTCTCATCTTCTTTGTCCAAAATATTCTAAGAATCTTTCTAAAGCATTTCTGCTCAAAGGATCCTATTCTCTTTTTTAAGGACTAAGAGATAGTCCACGACTCACATCCTTGTATAGCCACAGGAAAGATGTATGCTCTTAAAATTATAATTTGTATCTCCTTGCTGGTGCTTAACCATAGACTTTTAAAGCTGTTCAAAAGTTTCATTGGTAAGGCCATCGTCCTTTAAATGTCTGTCGAACAGTCTCCATTGCCCAGATATTTAAAGTTTTTGACATTTTCAATTTCTTCATCATTTATTATTATTTTTGGGTGACAGCCAGTTTTATCTGTGGACATTATTTTCGTTTTCTTTTAATTCAAGAACAGATTTTGATCTTCACTGTGCTTTTGGACAGACAATATTAAATTTTATATTACCTTAACGCTTTTTAAAGGGAGGACTGTGTCATCTGCGTAGCGGAGTTCCGGAATAGGTTGCCACCAATTTTGAGGGGATCATAACTGTCACAAGTCAGATAATTTTTGACATTTATCATTATTTTTTCTGCCTATATATTAAATAGTGATGGTGAGAGAATGCACCCCTGCCTCACCCCCCTTTGCACCTCGAACCATTCAGATGTTTCACCAGCTGCTCTGAAGGCTGCTTGTTGTTCACTATAAAGAGTTTCAATTAAATGCACTCAATGCGCTGGAAACCCCATACTTTTCATAATAGTCCACAGTTTGTGATGCTTGACACAATCAAATGCCTTGCTATAATCAATTAAACAAGCATGAAGACCTACATTTTATTCTCTGCATTTTTCAAATATTATTCTCATATTAAAGATGTGATCGCTAGTTCATCTACCCTGTATGAAACACTCTTGTGCTTCATCTAGCTCATATTGTAATTTCCGTTCAATCCTTTTTATGATAATTCGTAAGAGGATTTTGCTAGCATTACGTAATAATGCGATTGTACTGTACTTGGAGCATAGTTTCAGATTTCCTTTCTTAGGAAGAGGGATATAGACTGTTCTTTTCCACGCTTTAGGCCAAATGCCACTGTTACAGATCTTTGAGCACAGTGCGTGATAGATTCGGACGCTGGCCTCTCCTCCTGCTTGAATTAGTTCTGCTGGTATTTCGTCGTAACCTGGTAACTTTCCTTTCTTCAGGCAGTGTATTGCTGATCGTACCTCATCCAATAAACGCTCTGGTTCTTTTTCATAACTTTCACAAATCGTTTTTGAATTACTTGTCACATCCTCATACATTTCTCTACAGTATTCTTTCCATCTTTATAATACGTCTTTGGTTTCCGTTAATGTATTACCGTTTTTATCATTTGTTGCATGAAAAAAAAAAAAAGGCCTAAATTCGCCTTTCAATGTTTTTATTTCTTTAAACATGTCTCTATCTCTTCCTTGCGTCTAGAGTTGTTTACTTCTATTACAGGTATTTATAAAAAATCTGTTTTTTTATCTCCTCTGATAGTTCTTTAGATTTCTTTCGTGTAGTTCCTATATGCGTAGCTAATTTTTTCTGTCCCTACTTGCTTTAAATTTCTTCTTTCTTCTATCAGCTTGAAAGTTTTATTTCAGTAATGTAAATCTGTTTCTTGTGGTTTTTTTTTTTTTAAGGAATCATATTGTGAGCTGTTGTGATGGTGATGTATCTTGCTTCATCAGCCAACTCATCAGGTGCCATATCCTCCTGCACTGCCATTAGTGCCTCAAATTTGTTTCCAACCTCAATGCTGTAATCATTTGGCAAATTAATCAAATCAAAACGTATTGGCTTAGCCCCTTTCAACACTTTTTTCAGTTTTATTTTAAACTCTGCAACACGAAGTTAGTGATCAGTGTCACAGTCAGCTCCGGGGAGTGTCTTTGCAGATGTTATACATGACCTTCATTTTTGTTGTATTAAAATATAATCAATTTGTTTCCTGCTATTTCCATCTGGTGAAGTCCAGGTGTAGAGCCTTTTTGGGTTTTCTTTGAATAGTGTGTTGGTAATACACATTTTCTTCTCTATACAGAATTTGATCAGTCTCTCCCCACTCTCATTTCTGTCTCCTATGCCGACTATTTCCTCTTCCTCTATTCTACCTCTGCCAATTTTTGCATTAAAACCCCCCATGATGATTATAATATCTCTTTTTTTTTCCTACCCTTCTAACGTTTCTTCTAAACTTTCATAAACGTCTTGAATTTCACCTTTCTCTGATGCTGGTGTTGGGGCATAGACTTGAAAAATTATGATCTTCCTTTTCCTTAACTTGAATCTGACAGTTAGAATTCGGTCGCTGATCGGATTATATCCAAGAAGTGATAAAGAAACTTTTCTTATCATCAGAAAACCCACCCCGCTCAAACCACTTTTTTCCTTTCCTGAATAAACACATGTATTTCTTGTCTGAGTCACAAAATGGCCTTGACCCAGCCATCTATGTTCAGAAATTCCTAGCATATTTATTTTATTTCTTTCTAGTTCTCTGCCAACGATGCTAAGTTTTCCCTGATACATGCTCCTAACATTCCATGTTTCTTTAGAGCGGTGACTGAGATTTCTGTTGTAGTAACGTCAGGCTAAAGGCCGTCCTCACAACTACCTTTACTTGCTCTGTTATCGTTCTTTTCCCCAGTTCGCGTTTGTGATCTGCCTGGCCAGGGGGCCTCACCATCAGATCTTTGAGTTTCCTTTTTGGCTTCCATGATGAGTTTCTTGGGATAGGAATCTGGTAGTTTTCCGTTGCTTGCCACATCCACGTGGCTTTCGACTACGTCCTCAGCCTTCAGCAACCTTTCCTATTACTAGGGCAAGTAAATAACCTGCTCTGTGATGCTCCTGCTAACAGCAAAGATCACCCCAGAGGTGTCCATTTATCCCGGCGCATACTCGGTCCCCATAACTGCGTTGGCCACACAGCAGTGTGTTTACCGTCCTCTATCGCGTGGAGCTGCAGTTGTGTTTCCCTTCACTGAGTCTTGAGACCAGAATGACATTTCCTAAAACTCTCCAGTACTTTCAGAGGAAATTCTTACAACATATTATGATAATCCAGTCATCTGCGTGTGAGGGGCAGTTTTTCGTTATTTGAAGCCCCACCCTGGCTCTTGCCAGGGGCCACAATATAGTCTGGCTATTAATATGGTCTAATGGTTAAACAAGGTTTCTGGGACCTCTCCACGGTTATTGTCATCGACATAGGGGCACTTTGTGTCATCGGGTGTTTATCGCTTGCGTGATGTCCTGGTGGGGTAAAAATCTACTACTACTACAATACATTAAAAACAACGTCATTCTCGTGTAGGATGTAATATTTTTGTTTTTTTGAAGCCCCACCCTGGCTCTTGCCAGAGGCCTGAATATAGCCAGGCCATAAAAATAGCTTAAAGGCTGAATGAGGTTTTCGGGACCTCTCCACGGGTGATCTTCATTCACATGGTGGCACTTTGTTTCATCGGGTGTTTATCGCTTGTGTCGTGTCCTGGTAAGTTAAAATTTACTTTTACTACTACAATGTCCTGATTATTAACAGGTTGCATGCCACATTACAATAACTTACACCTGATGGGTACTGAGTTACAGATTTGTAACGTTAGGTAATATTTCTAAAACGGAGTATAACGTGCACAGTTCGTTGCGACAGCGCTAGCCGTGCATATCTAAATCCGCATTTGCTCACAACATACTGTCTACACCCCTAAAAAAAAAAAAAAATAAGCAAATACAGACGGTAGAGACTCTTTACAAAAATAAGGATAAAAATAATAGTATCATCCAAAAGACTACAAATGCAATGTGTATTTGTAAGCAATGAGTGATCAGTGATAAAGCTTTGCCTTTTCTAACTGATACACAGGCAAGCGCCTCACGAATGCCATCACTGACCCTGGTAAGTAAATGTTACTCATAGCTAGTTTTTTTTTCTGTACTTGTATTGGCCACCGCCAAAACATTTCTGTATTTTCCATCCACTTCTCCCAGTTGTTTTTCTTTCGTTCGTTTGAAATAGGTTTCATATATGTGCAATGTTGTCTTCAGTATGAGGTATGAGCTATGCCAATTGTGAAACATAATTTGATGTAATGTAGTAAGGTGTATCTGAACACTGTGAGTTTACTGTTCATATTATGGATCACAGATTGCAAAGCAACGGCTCAGCTCTCTAAGTTCTTAAAAGCCACGCATGAATTCCATGTGATCAGTATGAAGGTTAGACGATATACTGTTTTTAGTTGTGACAAATATCTAAATTTGACAATAGTTTGCTGTTGAATGTTCTTAATTTATAAACTGAAAGGGCAGCTGAACACAGTATTTCACATCACTAGCATGAACGTAGCCTAAAATATTAACAGTCAAGTTTTTAGTTTCACTTTTAAAAATTTGACTGTATGTGGTTATTGTGCTGTGTAAACATGGAATAATATTTTGTCATAATTGTTCAAAAATATTTATTTTTAAATTGTTTTCCTTTTTTTTTTCTTTTTTGAATCTTATTTTCATATTGAATCAAAGATATATGTAGAAGGTAAATTTGTGAACACATATTTGGAAGCTGCAGAGATGTGGTTTTGTAGATGAATGATGAGAACACACTGGTGAGACAAAAATGAGTAATGGTGATGTCCTGAACGAAACTCATTCACGAAGAGAAGTGACAGCCCATATCAGAAAGAGACCATCTGCATTCTTTGGTGATGTGAGGAGAAAGAAACAACTAGAGTACATCGTGACAGTAGGTAAGCTGGAGGGGATAAGAGGTTGGGGGCGGCCAAAAGAAAAAAAAATGATGGACAGTTTAACAGCATTGCATAGAGGATTATCTGTGCCTGCGTTGGTTAAAAGTACACGAGACAGAAGGTTGTGGACTGACGTGACTACCAGGGCCGCACGGCATGGACTTTAAGAAGGTAGTGGATAGACATGACTACCAACGCCGCACGGTATGGACTTTAAGAAGGTTGTGGATAGACATGTCTACCAACGCCGCTCGGCATGGACTTTAAGAAGGTTGTGGATAGACATTACTACCAACGCCGCACTACACGGACTTTAAGAAGGTTGTGGAAAGACATTTCTACCAACGCTGCACGGGATGGACTTTAAGAAGGTTGTGGATAGACATTTCTACCAACGCTGCACGGCATGGACTTAAAGAAGAAGTAGTGAGAACTTCGAAGGGTAATTTATTCTCGTCTCGTGTCACTCTCTCACACTCATACATACACATTCATGCACCATAACTCAAGCTTACCCAAACAAAACAGAGCTTGTGTTATCAGCCCCGCAGGCTGGGAG